ATAACAAAACACATGAACTGATAAAGAAAAAGGGAAAGCAAAAATACCTTGGAGTCTTGGAAAAATCAGCAAATCCCTGGTTAGATTCGGACCAAACCAAGCCTGGTTTGGTCACGAGGGAGGTCAGGGGAGTGTCTGGTATGAACCTGGGGTAGATCGGTGTAGATCGGAGTTCTGCTCGAATCTTCAAATGATGATTCGAGCACCTAGGGACTGATTCGAACTAAGCGGTTGATGGATTTGGATTCAGGGTGCTGAGGTGCATCTAGGGTGTTAAGGCGGTGGTCACCGGCGTCCTTGCCGCCGGGTTTAATGGTGAGGGAAAAAGAGGCGGCGTTAGGGTTTCATGGAGTTCGGGGTCTGGTGAAGAAGACGACTACATGGGTGCTTGGATAGGGGGGCAGGGTATGATATGGAAGCTTTTATACGGGGTGGATGGTTGGGTTTTGGCCGTTAGATCACCTGAGATCAACGGCCTAGATTCAAAGGTTAATCCAAATGGTGTCGTTTGGTTTAGCATTAGGATCGGGTAGGTCCGGGGTTGAATGGGTCGGGTTTGTATGTGGGTACGAGGGATATAATCTTGGCCGTTGATCCTTCTGAGATCAACGGTCTAGATCGAAAGCGGCTCAACGACGTCGTTTGGCAGGTGGTGTGGCCAGTTCAACTGGACCGGGTAAACAGGGCTTCAGGATTGGGTTGTTTGGTTTGGGCCTGTTCATTTTAGTTCAAATTGGCCCAATCCGAAGATCCTTTAATTTTCCAATAAAAATGTCAAATAACACTATACAAACATCACAATTAACACACATTAACATTTAATTAAAATAACATCACTTAATGACGAAATAAAAACAAAAGATGCATTTTTTGTGATTTTCCTAATTAAAGTTTAATTAATTCCTAAATGCACAATTAAATTGTAAATGCGCATGTGACACATATTTTTTTTTCTTAATTAAAGTATAAATAAACATGCACAGACAAATACAAACAATACACAAAATTCACAACAAATGCAAACTATCAAAAACTATTTGGGAGTAATTCTTTCATAGGGCAAAAATCACGTGCTTACAGATAACGCATCAGAATTCTACTCTTTATCGGCCCAAAGCCAATGGTGCTGTCGAAGCAGCAAACAAAAACATCAAAAAGATTTTGAGAAAGATGATTCAGAGTTCCAGGCAGTGGCATGAAAAGTTACCGTTTGCATTGTTGGGATATCGCACTACTGTGCGCACGTCAATTGGAGCCACCCCGTATCTTTTGGTTTATGGAACTGAAGCCGTAATACCCGCAGAGGTTGAAATCCCTCTCTTCGGAACATTGTTAAAGCCGAAATTGAAGAGAGTGAGTGGGTCAAAACCCGGATAGAACAGTTAACCTTGATCGATGAAAAGCGAATGGCCGCGGTCTGCCACGGCAGTTGTACCAACAAGGAATGGCCCGTGCCTACAACAAGAAAGTGCGGCCTAGAAATTTCGAAGTGGGGCAGCTTGTTTTAAGGCATATCCTTCCCCATCACTAGGAAGCGAAAGGAAAATTTGCTCCTAATTGGAAGGGCCCATACATCATCAGAAAGATATTGCCGAAAGGGGCGTTGTATCTGGGTGATATCGAAGGGAATGATCCCGAAGCAGCTATGAATGCAGATGCAGTCAAAAGGTATTATGTTTAGCTTTTCTGCAGTGACAACTTTGTCCGATTGGGATGACGAAGGCTTTCATTCTCGCTATCCAAACACTCTCCACCCTTTGCAAACCCATTTGAGCCAGTTACTCTTCTTTGATTACCCTCTTGGGAACCGTAAAGTGTTAAAAAAAGCAAACGAAACAAAACAAAATGTTTTCCTGAACTACGTTCGACTTGATTCCGAAAGGATACGTAGGCAGCCTCTCTCTGGGGTTCAGTCACACCAAAATAAAAATCCAATTTTCCCCAAAAGCGAAACTGGGGCAGATGTTATGATGGTTCGACAATGATGCCTACCTGAACGGTTCCAAAGTTGTAATTTCATCCAGATTCTTTTTACCCAAACCGTGGTCAAGTCCTTCTGATCAATCGGCAAAGGCGTCGGAACTAGAAAACACAACTGTTTGGATCTGATACAATCAAAATGAGAGAAATAAAATGAGAGAGTCTTATCGGTGAAAACCTACGGGCACCATAAGACGACGGTGCGCAGAGAAATTGAAAATGAGAGAGTCTTGTTAGTGAAAACTCATAAAGAGCACTATAAGGCGATGGTGAGAAGAGAAATGAGAGAGGTCAATTGGCGAAAACCCACAAAGGGCGCCGTTAATCAAAGAGAAGAAACCCCTTGCCACCATTGGTATTGAAAGAGTCCTGGCAAGTTTTCTCGGTTTTGAAACACGGGTCGCAATGGGTTTATGAGAAGTTGGGATAGTTGTGCGGATCGGTTGTCTAGTCCAAGAGGCATGTCATGTCTATTTGAAGTCTGCATGCACCCCAGATAAGTCCGTCCTTCTTTCCCGAAAGGGACACTTCTCCTTTAAATTCATTTTCTTGTCCTTTGTTTACTTTCCCTTGAATCCCTTTCGGTCTAACTTTGTTCCGAAGCTAATGCAAAGGAAAGGTGGCAAGATTGGTTTTACAGGGTTCTTCTTAATAAAAGCCAAGTCCGAATAAAAGTACCTAGCCTCAGCGGGTGCATCAAGTTGATCTCGACTGGCCATGATGACTGATGCTCCGAAATCGGAGTTTATTGAAAATGAAAAGAAATCCAAGCCCCTAGAGGCAGAAAGAAGTGAAAGGGCCAAAGCCCATGCAATTAAGCCATCATGAGAAATTTTGAAAAGTTGATCTCCTCGGTTTTAGGATAGAGATCAACTTTCAGAAAAGCCAGCAAGCAGCAGAGGTTCCAACCAAAAGAGTTGAGCCAAGATCAAGTAATCAAAAACGATGAAGACCACAAAACCAACCACCGTTTCAAACTAACAATTGTTCTTTGTTTGAAAAATTGAAACAGGTGCAACCCAAAGCAACCGTGCGAGAATCAGGTGCAATCAGAAGGGAAAAGATGTGCAAGAGCTAGAAACAGTTTTCCGCAACAACCACTCCAAATAAGGGAAGTTCACTCCAAGTTTCTTTCCCGCATTTTATTGGAAATAAAAATTGAAAAAAAAAGGAAGAGAAGTAAGAAAAAAAATGTGTTAGCCTGGGACTCCCAACCTCAATCTTTTACCCTTTTACCAACATTAGGGCTCCAATCCCTGAGTTGAGAATTTTAGACATGGGGCCTCCATTCCCTAGTCGCCTTTTGCCAACATTAGGGCTTCAATCCCTGAGTTGACACTTTTAGATATAGGGTCTTCATTCCCTATTCGCCTTTTGCCAACATTGGGGCTCCAATCCCTGAGTTGAGATTTTTAAATATAGGGCCTCCATTCCCTATTCGCCTTTTGCCAACATTGGGGCTCCAATCCCTGAGTTGAGATTTTTAAATATAGGGCCTCCATTCCCTATTCGCCTTTTGCCAACATTGGGGCTCCAATCCCTGAGTTGAGATTTTTAGACATAGGGCCTCATTCCCTAGTCACCTTTTGCCAACATTAGGGTTCCAATCCCTGAGTTGAGTTTTTAGATATCAGACTCCATTCCCTAATCTTTCCTCTTAAACACACAATCCTTATTTTATTGCTTTCAATAGAGAAATAGTTTAGATTTTAGTTACAAATAATTCACGAAATTTTCCTAGTGAAAACTGGGGCAGAAAAATTTCGTTCGTTTGTTTATTTGGTGTCTAAGCAGGTTTGGCCTCAGGAACAAGGTTCGAGATGACCAAAATAACGAGTCTCAATCCAAAATAAAGAAAAAGGGCAAGAGAAATGAACTCAAAATGCTGAAGCGGAGAAAGACGCAGACTGCCCGAGATACGATTGAAGTCACAAGCTTCGCATGTCCCGCCTTGATCTAAAGCTGAAGAGTGAACCAGTGGCTACAACAAGAACCAACCAAGACTCAAGATCAGGTTTCAGAAGATTTATAGATAGGAATCTTGTAACTCGTAGTTGATAGGCTTAGCTAGTTTAGCTTTTTATTTTTCATTTTGGTATAATAAGGAGCTCAGCCAGCAGAAACCGCAGCAACAGCAGTGAAATCACGGCTTCCTGGTAGTTTCAGCTACCAAAAGTTCCCAGAACTACACTAACCTGATTCCTTTATGGCCAAGGATATGTAGGCAACCTCCGAAGCAAGGTTCGGTCAGACTTTTTCAAAAAATGCTTCTCATGGAGTTTCAAATGGGCAAATATCCTTTGTAATTGCTCATTTTATCTTTGCCCGAAGATCCTTCATGTCTCCGAGCAAAGAAGGGAAGTTGTGAGCACGTGATCTTTGCCATATATGAAATACCCCTACAAAATCTAAGAAAATAGATTTTCTTATTGATTATTCGCCATTTTTAGGAATTTTGTAGATTTTTATTAATTGTTTACATTTTTCTTGCTTGTTTAATTTTTATTCAAATCATAAAAATACCAAAAATATCATGCACTGCATTTAGGATTTATTTTTACACTTTTTAGAGTTAATCCGTAATTACTTGTTTTGTAAAATTTGAAAATCACAAAAAAAATAGTTCATTTTCACATTTTTGCCTTTAATTTTTAGTTCATTGATTTTTCACTTTTAATATAGATTTGAGTAATGTTTACAATTTTATAATTAGTTAATTACTTTAATTTCACATTTTTAGATAATTTAGGATTTTTAATTTAAAAAGAGAGAAAAGAAAAAAGAAAAGAAAAGGATTTGTTAAATAAAAGTAAATTGAAGAAGAATTTTAGTTTTCCGAAATTGGGTCAGCTCCCATGCACCCCAATCTAGCCCAATCTTTCCCCATATAATTAATTAATCCCCAGCCCAAATATTCATGACCCAGTCCAAATAACCGGACCAAACCCGTCAAACTGACCCGCCCCATTTCGCTCAATATATAATCCCTCTTAAACATTTTCCCCAAATTCCCCAAACCCTAGAGAAATCAGAGAAGCGGCGCTACTGTTCTTCTTCTCCACTGAGCTCGACCTCAACTCGCCTGAGTTCGAGCGAGCTCACTCAAAACGGTCCTTCTCTCCACGTCACCTCTATTTCCCAATGGATTTGTCAGAGAAGAGTACGATTATTCCCTCAAAACCGCGGATTTTTGTACAAAAGGAAAATTGTTGGATAAATGGGAGTCGTGGATAGAAGTGAATCAATCCACGCCCTCCATTTGTCCCAAAATTGTTCAAAAATTTGAGAAATATTTACGGAGTTCTTGGCAGATTTTGGAAGAATTTTCGAGGGCTCTATATATATGAGGTAAGTCTTCTGTGCTAAAAGGGCAAAGAGAGAAAAAAATCAGGAGAAAAAATCGGATAAAATCTTCAAAAAACTTAGTCGAAAAATTTCTAAAGTTTTTTTTAGTAGTCACTTTTCTTCAAGCCCTTCTTCTTCAGTCTATTTTTTTTTCCATAAAAACAAAAAAAAAATGGCTTGAGTTCTGCTTTCATTCAGGTTTTATTCAAGTTTTGTTTTTTTTTTAGAGAAAAAATCAAAAAAGAAAAAGGGCTACTGGAACAGATATCTTTTAGCCTTGGTTCTTTTCTTGATTTCTGGTTCTAAAAGGAAGTTTTGGATTGAATTTCAAGTTGAAGTTTGTGTCTGGTTTTTTCTTTTGGATCTCTGCATTCTGTCGATTATGTTCGAAAAAAAAAGGAATTGAAAACCGATTTGGATTCTATTCTCCTGCGTCGCATGTACTGGGATTTTGGAGGGATAACTAGGCTCCGATGTTGCTGTTTCACCGCTGAATTTAGCTGTTCATCCTTGCTGGCATCAACATTTCTTATCTTGCTTTCATTTGGTTTTAAGAATTGGTTTGAGGCGCAACCAGGTACTCCTTCTTGAATTTGAATCACTGTTGTGTAAGAATGATCTAATTCCTTTGGGTTTTTTTTTTTCAATAAAAATTTGATTCCCTTTCATATAATGAACTTCTCTGGATAAGGCTGTTGTTGGCGGATTTGAATTTGAATTTGCGGCTAGATTTGTCATGTCACGATGGCCCATTTGGGATTGCTAAACTTACTTGTATCCTCGNTTTTTTTTTCCAATAAAAATTTGATTCCCTTTCATATAATGAACTTCTCTGGATAAGGCTGTTGTTGGCGGATTTGAATTTGAATTTGCGGCTAGATTTGTCATGTCACGATGGCCCATTTGGGATTGCTAAACTTACTTGTATCCTCGGTTAACCATATTCAAGTTTGTTTAGTTAAATGCTTTTCATGAACTTAAGATTTGAAAATGATCCACTGTTTTTACCTCAAGCAGTATAACTGTTATGGTCATCAAAAGATAGATATCATTGTTGTGATTTATTAGGCTAGAGTATGCCTAATTCTTTGGTTGTAATGTCCTGTTAGTTGTTGCGTTTGATGTAAATGTTACCATGTTCATTCGGTTTGTGTTATGACTATTAAATTTACGTCAATAGCATGCTTAATATGAAGAATATGCAACTCTGATTTATAGTTGGCTAGACCTGCTTTCTTAGTATGTTTGGAAATTCTTTGACAGCATGTTGTTGTCCTTTCATTCCAGATCTTGTGCTATCGTGCTTGAATGTCATGTAGTTAAAAAAGAAAGGTTGGATCAAGTAATTAAGAAGTAGCTAGGATATACTTAAGAGTTGTAAAAATATTGAATTCATGTGAATGTCCTTGCAAATTCAATTGGGTGCAGACAAAGATTTTGGTAGCTAAATAGCTAGTCATGAATAGGTCAAATGCTTAAATCTTCATGAATAGTCAGTAAGCTCATCTAGTTGTGGCCTATTATTAGAAACTGATTCGCAAGTTGAATGTTGTGTTGTGACTACAGTAATACCCCAACCAATCATTATTTTATGATGTTATTCTTAATAACTGAGTTTTTTACTTTACTATGTTGAGTTTGTATGGTTGGATCTCAATTTCATGTGAAACAATAGATGTTTTTTTACATGCATTGAACAATCCTACGAGAATCTGAAGTTCCATTGGATTTTCAGAGTTAACAACGAAATACCAGTTCTTGTTGTCTGGCTAATTGGGTAAAGGGCCTAGTTAAGATGTTAAATGTGATTTAGAGGAGTAACTTCTACGACTTTGATTTGTAGTTCTAATAACTAGGAGCGAAATAGTTTAGTCTACATTGATGCATTTCACCCTTTTGCAGAAAATGTAGTGCCCATGTTTTGGTGATCGGAGTATTTTATCCATTTGTGAATTTTATTATGGCGAAATTAAGTATTTGTCCGTAACTTTATTGCCTATGTGCGTGTAGTATTCCAAACTTGCTATAATTTTCGTGTCACTAGTATTTCATGATATAGTCAATATGTATTAACATGTCTTTATCCTTGAGAAAAGGTGAATATACTCTGGACTTGAAAAGCCCTGATAAATCATAACATAGGAAAAGAACAAATGAATATTGTAGTGTGTTTTAGGCACGCAATTAAATTATTACAACTACGGGTACGGCTCTCGTGACGTGGTTGTGATAATTAGTTTTAAATTAGAATAAAAGTATCTTTAGTTTGCCTTTAAAATATATATACCCCTTTGAAATAATTTGAGGTGTGCCATACTTTAAACATATAACATATGGCCTCTCACAAATTTAGATAAAATAATTTGGGGTGTGCCATATACAAATAAAATCCTTTAATTTATGGCCCTCATATAAACGAATAAAAATATTAGTATAAAAATTGCCTTGAACTTTCGTAGTTTGCTTTAGGCCCAATTTAGATTAGTATTGCGATTATATATACGTTCGCGTAATATAATTGCAAATTAAATTCTTAAAAGACTCGAGGGATGCGTTCGCGCAACTTCAACCAAACTTTCTTAATAAATCAACAAAAGCGTTATTAATCATGGACACGTTCGCGTGACATGATTTTGACGCGCCAAAAGAAAAGAGTATATGTACGCGTAACTCAATTCTTTAAATTACGAATAATTCAAGTGATTTAAAAGTGGTAAAGAGATAAATGCACATAGGTCCTAAAGTGAGTAGTTAAACAATTTAAGCCAAGTATAAATTGCTAAGCGACCGTGCTAGAACCACGGAACCCGGGAATGCCTAACACCTTCTCCCGAGTTAACAGAATTCCTTACTTAGAATTTCTGGTTCGCAGACTTCAAAAGGAAAGTCGAAATTTTCTCGATTTGGGATTTAAAACAAACCGGTGACTTGGGACACCAATTAAATTATCCCAAGTGGCGACTCTGAAATCAAATAAATAATCCCATTTCGAATAATGTCACTTAAATTGGAGGTGTGATAGCTCCTGCGGAACCCAAACTACAAGTGCGGTTATGATAGAACCAGCAGCTGAAGCTGCAACTTAAATTCCAAAATCTTTCCGTCAACCATCCGAAATCATCCCGAGGCCTCCGGGACCTCAACCAAAGGCACCAACAAGTCACAAACCACTATCCAAACATGTACCAATCCTTAAAATACCTAAAACAACATCGAAACCTCGAATTAACCATGGATTTAAGCCTAAGAATTCCAAAATTTTCAAAATATGCTTTCGATCAAAAGGTCTATCAAACCTCGTCTGAATGACCTGAAATTTTGCACACATGTCAAATTCAACTCTACGGAGCTACTCCAATTTTCGTAATTCCATTCCAACCCTCGGATCAAAATCTCACTATCGGATTGGAAACTTCAAAAACTCAACTTTCGGCATTTCAAGCCTAAATTAGCTATGGACCTCTAAAACACAATCCGAACACGCCCATAAGCCCGAAATCACCCAACGGAGCTAACGGAACCATCGGATTTCAATTCCGAGACCGTCTTTATACTGTTCTGACTACGATCAACTTTCCAGCACTTAAGCTCTCATTTTGGGACTAAGTGTTCCAAAACTCTCCGAAACTCAAAACTGAACATCCCGATAAATCAAAATAGCAGAAATAAACTCGTGGAAAGCAGTTAATAGAGGATCGGAACGTTAATTCTTAAGACGACCGACCGGGTCATCACAAGAAGGTTTGGGCTTGGAGTTTGGATGGGCAGTCTTGACATCACTCTCGTGTTTCTTGACCCATGAACCCTTCACACACACATACCTCATACTTGCAAAGGCTCTAGAGTTGTATGATTTTGAAACTATAGTGAAGAAGTATGCAGAGAGGGAAATGTGGGCTTCCAGAATGTGGGTAATGGCCATTCCATAGGGTAGACTAGTGGGATCTTCCGCACTTTCAATCATGAAATTGATAACCCAAGAGGACAACTTGATTTTGAGTTTGGTCACAAGATAGTAGACCGGAAAAGTATCTCGTAGAGAGAAGGTTAAGAAAGAGTCAGTACGGGGGAGCAAAGTAGTTCCCACAATGTGAGCTATAATACGGGTTTCAAACATCACTAGGACCAAGTTGGTTTGGAAGGGATTTAGATGGACACTCAGCAATACATCTTTTGGCTTGATCAAAAGAAATTTCAAAATTATCGGGCCAGCAATTTTAAACAGCATAGGGAAACCAGAACACTTGCACTGAAAGATTGAATCAAACAAGGAAGAGTCAAGAACAATAAACTTTCCTAGTACTAAGGTCTCCAACTTATCAGACCTACTGGAATGAAGATTAGCATAGAACATTCGCACAAGAGGTTCATAAACTTTAGGATGAGGAACAGAAAAGAACTTAGACCACCCTTGGTAAACAAAAAGGTCCTTGACCTTACAATTTCGGGCTTCTATATCATCAAGGTCGACTACCCTCCCATGAGTAATAGGCTTGTCTGATAGGGAGAAAAAGAGGTCCCTGTTAGGAAAATCCCAGAAATTAAATTCCAAATCAAGGGAACTGGAGAGATCAACTTTTGATTTCTTTGGAGTGGAGGAGATAGGGGGGTCTTCCATGGGTCTTTTACCCAGGGCTTTTTCTCCTAAGTGTTGAGAATGATCGGTGAAATTCCCCTGAGAAGAGGCAAATCCCTCAGAGTGATCGGACCCTAGGTCTACCTATTCAGGGGGTTGAGATGGGGTTTTCCCTTGGAGCGGGTACTCTTTCTAGTCGAGGCAGAAGGGGTTTTGGATTGTTTAGCCATTGAAGGAGGTTGGTGGTGAAGCAAGATTTCGGAGAAGGGGTATGAGGGCGATAGAGACAATGGAGATTGATATGAGAAGACAACATAAAAAGGGGTTTACTGACGGTTGAGTACAAAAAAGGAAAAGGCGTCAGTTGATCAGGCGCGATAATTGGTTTTCCTTTTTTGAGTTCTGTGACTGATGTGAAAAGAGAAGGAAAAGGAGGGAAAATGGAGGCGTAATTAATGCGAGAAAAAAAATGTGGACTATTCTATATAAGATTAAATAATGCCACAAAGGTCCTATTATTCTCTATCAATGCAAATAATGCCAAGAAGTTTTCTAAGTGAACAGAATCTTTCTTCTAGTAATAGCTTGGTAAAGATATCCGCTAGTTGATCAGTTGTTCCTACAAAAGATATTTCTGTATTTCCCTTAAGAACATGATCTCTAATGAGTGATGCTTGATATCTATACACTTTGCCCTAGAATGATGAAAATTATTTTTTGAAAGACAAATAGCACTTGAATTATCACAGAAAATTTGTATAGGTTTAAAGGAAAGTTCATAGTCACCCAGTTGATGGGACATCCACAGTAATTGTGCACAGCATTGTCCAATAACAATGTATTCAACTTCAATGGTAGATAATACAACTTATGCTTGTTTTTTACTATTCCAGGATATCAATGCCTTTCCTAGTAATTGACATGTACCACTTGTGCTCTTTCTATCTTCCTTATCACCTGCAAGGTCAGCATCTGAAAAACCTTCTAATTTAAAAGAGTTAGAACAAGGATACCATAGTCCATGGGAGACAGTCCCAATGAGATATCGAATGATTCTCTTTACTGCAGTCAGATGAGATTCTTTAGGAGCTGACTGAAACCTGGCACATTTACACACACTTAACATAATATCCGGTCGACTTGTAGTCTGATATAGTAATGAGCCAACCATTCCATGATACTTAGTTTCATCAACAGGGATCCCCTGTTCATCTTTGTCTAGACTTGTTGAAGGACTCATTGGTGTGCCAATGGATTTTGCATTGCTCATGCCAAATTTTTGAATCAGTTCCTTTGTGTATTTGGTCTGACATATAAAGGTTCCTTCTTCAGATTGTTGAATTTGAAGGCCAAGGAAGAATGTTAAATCTCCCATCATGCTCATTTTGAATTCACTTTGCATAAGATTTGAAAATTCCTTGCACATAAGAGGGTTGACACTACCAAATATAATATCATCAACATAAATTTGAATAATAAGATTACCTTCTGATGATCTTTTAATAAACAAGGTAGTGTCTACTTTACCTCTTGTGAAGCCATGATCAATCGGAAAAGAACTAAGTCTATCATAACATGCTCGTGGAGCTTGCTTCAGTCCATATAGTGCCTTAGTGAGCTTATATACATGGTAGGGAAATTTTGAATCTACAAACCCAGGCGGTTGTTTCACATATACTTCTTCTCAATAAATCCGTTCAAATATGCAATTTTGATATCCATCTGAAACAACCTAAATCCTTTAAATGATGCATATGCCAGAAGGATTCGTATAGACTCCAAACGAGCTACTGGAGCGAAAGTTTCGTCATAGTCGACTCCTTCTTGTTGTGAATATCCCTGAGCAACTAATCTGGCTTTATTCCTTACGACCTTTCCATCCTTGTTCAATTTATTTCTAAAGAACCACTTTGTTTCAATTATAGAAACATTTTCAGGTTTGGGTATCACTTTCCACACTTGATATTTACAAAACTGATCTAACTTTTCCTGTATTGCTTGTACCCAACTTGAATCTTTAAGAGCTTCCTCTATCTTTTTTAGTTCAACCTGCAAAATTAATGCTACATTTGCTTTCTTTTTGAGAGCTTCCCTGGTTTTCATTCCTTCATTTGGATCCCCTATGATGAATTTTTGAGGATATTCAGGTTCGCTTCTCCATTCATTTGGATGCACCACATTAGTAGTCGACTCGATCGGATGATCTGGTTCACTGCTGCTGATTTCATTAGTTGACTCCATCATAGCAGATTTATCAGTTGATTCTTGAGATTTGCTTTTCTCCTAAGTTTCTTGAGCTTGATCTTCATCACCTATAGTAATTCCGTTCTCGACCAAGGGGTTATTTTCGTCAAATATAACATGTAGAGATTCTTCCACACATAAGGTGCATTTATTATAGACTCTAAAAGATCTACTATTTAATGAGTAGCCCAGAAAAATACCTTAATCACTTCTTGGATTGAATTTTCCAAGGTTGTCCTTACCGTTATTGTGAATAAAACACTTACTTTCGAAGGGATGAAAGTAACTGATATTAGGACGTTTACCTTTCCATAATTTATAAGGAGTCTTCTTCAAAATGGGCCTTATGAGACATCGGTTGAGAATGTGACATGTTATACTCACACCTTCTGCCTAAAAGTGATTTGGTAGTGAATGATCTAGTAACATGGTTCTTGTCATGCCTTGGAGGGTTCTGTTTTTCCTCTCAACAACCCCATTTTGTTGTGGTGATCGTGGTGCAAAGAAATTATGAGTGTCTCCCTGATCATTACAGAAGTCTTCAAAAGCTCTACTTTCAAATTCTCCTCCATGATCACTCTGAATTGTTGAGATCAGATATCTCTTTTCTCTCTCAACCTTTTTGCAGAAAATATCAAACTTTCTTAATGCTTCATCTTTATGAGACAAGAAAATTACCCAAGTGAAACGTGAATAATCATTAACAATAACAAAAGCATATCTTTTTTCTCCTATACTAGCAGTTCTAGTAGGCCAAAATAGGTCCATATGAAGCAATTGCAAAGGTTTAGAAGTAGATACAATATCTTTATTTTTGAAAGAGTTTCTGGTTTGCTTACCTATGTGATATGCATCACAGATATGAGTTCTAGAAAAATTCAGTTTGGGTAGACCAATAACTAACTTATGTTTGGATAATTTTTCTATCAAATGCATGCTTCCATGACCAAGTTTTCTATGCCATAACCATGGATCATCAGACATAGATGTTAAGCAAATATGCCCATCTATCTTTTCAAAACTATCAAGGATATAAACATTTCCTTACCTTTTTCCTTGGGAGGACTATTTCACTTGTCTCGTCTTCAATAGCACGACATGTTTTCTTAAAATTTACCTCATATCCTGAGTCGCCTAGTTGACTTATGCTTAGGAGATTGTAGTTGAGTACATCGACGAGATAAACTTCAGTGATATCACAGTTGTTATTGAAGGGAATTGTTCTAGTGCCAATTATCATTCCCTTTGAGTCACCCCCAAACTTAACGCTTCCTCCATCAATTTTTGTAACTTCTTTGAACAGGTTTTTATCACCTGTCATGTGACTGGAGCACGCACTATCTAAGTACCATTTTCCTTTGCGGCTTATTCTGTGGTGTTCCTGCAAAACATAGTGATTACTTTCTTTTAGTTACCCAAGCTTGCTTGAGTCTTGGAGGGTTAGTATTACTAGATTCAGAATTGTTTTTTGGTTTCCAAACTCATCCTGAAACATTTTCTTTACGAAAGCGACAAAACGAATATTTATGTACACTTTTGTTACAGTAATGACACATAACTCCTGACCCACTTTTAGGTCTTTCATTAGTGTTAGCAGGGGCGGATCTAGTGTTATGGATACGGGTTCAATTGAATCCATAACTTTCGACAGAATCCGGAAATATACTGGGCAAAATTACTGAAATATGGTCATATATTATTGTTTGAACCCATAGACTAAATTAGGCTATGGGTTCAGTGGTAAAAGTGCTGGGCAGAGCGCCACTTATTATAGTGAGGACTGGGGTTCGAATCTCTATGTCTATGATTTTTATTGCATTTTTATTTAAGTTACTATTTGACTTCTTTATTACTTTTGGACTTCTTTTGCCACTTACCATTTAAAGAGGCCAATTTCTTATCCTTAAAAGATGAGGACCCACCTAATTAATATTATTCTTTATTGTATACTTCTTATGGGTCTTTTTAATAATTATAAAAAGTTAAGGCTTCTTTCTTATTTTCTTGGTCTTCATAAAGTTTTAAGAGATCTAAAAGTTCCACTTTTGAGAAGGTTCTTCTTTCCCAAATTTTTAAAGTTAGGGTTTCAAAAGAATCAAAGCAAAGGCTTTTCTTCTTGGACATAAACTGCAATAATTCTCTTTGTTTTGCTAGTATGACTCTATGGCTCTTTCTCAATAATAATGCAATATTTATTAATTATAAGTTAAAGGATCCGTCCTTGATCTTGGTTCTTGCATTTTGGTTCCTTATAAGAAATTAGTACCTGAGGCTACTGTAGAGTTTGAGAAGTGGATGTTGCCCTTAAGTTTAAGTATAGTCAGATGAGCAGATTTGTTATTTTTGGGGTGACTATGAGCTCTGTATCGAGGAAAGATAAGAAGAAAAAAAATATTAGGCATATCAATGTATTATGTGTGCCAAATTTAATAATATGCTGACAACCAAGTTCGTTAATAGATCTTGAACACCCATTCTTGATTCTTGAATATTTGAAAAGTAACCCTTTTGAGTTTTGTCATTAAGTTCCATGTCTAGCAATTATTATCGTATGTTTGGATAACTAATTAGATCATTCCATTCAATCTAACAAAATTAGAGTACCTCTGCTGGAGTGTAATTTATTTTTTGTATTTTTGTAGGATCTTTTTAGTGAGGGTGGATATGATTATGAAATTTTTCAAAGCTATTCCAACTCCTCAAACTTCTGGTTCTAGTTCTGGTTCTAGTCCTCCTACGCCAAGTTCTTCGCCAAGTCCAACTATTCATGACAATATCAATCTTTCGGCAGGATTAAACAAAGAGAAAATGTTGAATTTGAATCTTGAACCCGATCGTGCAGAAAGAAAGCAAATTTTAGAGTATCCTCCAAATTTACGTGGTCGAGTGAGGAGACATTATATTCAACCAGGGCCTTGTCAACCTTGTAATTGTAGCTTTCCAAAAAGAGATTTTGGTGGATTTATGCGTCAATTTAATATTGAATGGTTTAACACTTCATACTCTGGATGGTTAGAATATAGTGTTAAAGTTGATGCAACATTTTGCTTATGTTGTTACTTGTTTAAAAATGAGCATGGAGGACATGGAAAAGTTGGGGATTCTTTCACAAAGAATGGTTTTAGAGCTTCGAATAAAGCTATAGAAAGGTTTAACGCACATATTGGAGAGGTGAATAGTCTTCACAATCGGTGTTTTAAGATGATGAGAGATTTAATTAATCAAGAACAATCAATGCTAACTTCTTTTGACAAGCAGGCTGAAAAAATTAAAAGTGATTATCGAGTTCGGTTGAATGTTTCGATTGATGTGGCAAGATTTCTTTTAAAACAAGGAATGTCTTTCCGGGACCACGATGAAGGTGAAACTTCTACTAAAAGAGGAAAGTTTGTAGAACTCTTACAATGGTATGCAGGTAGGGATGATGAAGTGAAAAAAGTTGTGCTACAAAGTGCTCCACAAAATAACATGATGATTTCTCCAAATATCCAAAAAGAGATCGCGAATGCATGTGCGAAAGAAATAATGAAAGCAATAGTTGAAGATTTGAATGGAGATTATTTTGGAATTTTGGTTGATGAATCTAAGGACGTCTCTCATAAGGAACAAATGGCTCTTGTTCTGTGGTATGTCAACAAAGAGGGAAAACTTATTGAGTGATTCCTTAGTATTGTTCATGTTAAAAAAAACAACTTCATCGTCATTGCAAAAAGCAATCTATGATTTGCTTTTAGAGCACTCATTGAGTCCATCTCAAATACGAGGACAAGGTTATGATGGGGCTAGTAACATGCAAGGAGAAATCAATGGTCTTAAAACTTTAATTCTGAATGATAATCCTTCGGCATATTGTATACATTGCTTTGCCCATCAATTGCAATTGACTCTTGTAGCCGTTGCAAAAAAACATTGTGATGTAGATCAATTTTTTGATATTGTTGCTAATGTCTTGAAAATTGTTGGAAGTTCTTTTAAGCATAGGGATATGCTTCGAGAGGATCAGGAAAAAAAATTAGATGAGCTACAAGTGCTTGGTGAATTTCATACAGGAAGTGAACTAAATCAAGAACTTGAACTCCAAAGGCCAGGTGATACTCGATGGGGTTCTCATTTTAAGATAGTGCGTAACTTTATTACATTATTCTCATCTATCATTAATGTACTTGAGTTTCTTGCAAGTGAGGGTGAAAATTATCTAGAGAGATCAGTGGCAAAAAGTTTAGTGAATGACATAAGGTCTTTTGAGTTTGTGCATATGATGCACTTGATGTTAAAATTATTGGCAATTACAAATGATTTGAATATGGCTTTGCAAAGAAAAGATCAGGATATTGTAAATACTATGAAGCTTGTTGGTTTCGCCAAGAGGCAATTGCAAGGGATGAGAGAATCTAAATAGGAATCTTTGATAAATGATGCCTCTTCATTTTGTGCCAAGTATGATATTGTGATCTCTGAAATGGATAAGAACTATCATCTTGGAAAGTCAAAGCGTAGGAGTTCAAGTGTTACATATTCTCATCATTTGCATGTCGATGTTTTTAATACTGTTATTGATTTGCAACTTTCAGAGCTTAACAGTCGTTTTGATGCGGTGAATAGTAATACTTCTTGGTATGGCTAGTTTGAGTCCGGATAATTCTTTTGCAAATTATGATAAAGAAAGAATTATGAAACTTGCTACACTTTATCCTCATGAGTTTAGTTGTTCAAAGCTTGAAGATCTTAGTTACGAGCTTGACAACTATATTCTCTTTGTGAAAGAAGACAACGATTTCTCTAACTTGAAAGGACTTGGAGATCTTTCAGAAACACTAGTTGAAACAGATTTGTACAAGACTTGGAGACTTGTTTTTTTGCTTGTGAAGTTAAGTCTCATATTGCCTGTCGCTACTGCAACAGTAGAAAGAGCTTTTTCTTCAATGAAGTACATCAAAAATGACTTGCGTAGCAGAATTGGTGATGAATTTTTGAATGGTTGTTTAGTTTGTTATATAGAAGATGAAGTATTTGAAACTGTACCTAATGATGCCATTATTGATCGTTTTCAAAGCATGACAACATGTAGGGTACAATTNTTGAGGTATGTGCTAGAGTTCTAAATCTTGAACCCATAAAGTTAAATTCCTGGATCCGCCTCTGTTGGGACGTATGCATCGCAATTCAATAACCTTCCAGGTCTACCTCGGGTTATTTTCTGTGAACCTTGCTCGGTGAGTCCTGAGGTGTTCCCATGGACAATGTCTGATCTTCACGTAAACATAAGTTCGGTGATCAACATCATTAAAAGCACACATTTAAACATCAAGCCACCTGCATTACCAACGATTGAAATGCAGATCAACCGTGAAACTTACAATTTCGAACTGTTCTCGTTGCTCGTGAAGATAGCGCTAATATTTTCATACCTTCCAGTTCCAAGCTGTTCTACAGCTTCGTGCTTCTACTTAAGCGACTGAGAATTGTCTCCTTGTTCTATGCTGTGAAAGCTCAGAACGTCTATTTTTATGATTCACAGGAACCACGGCAAGTGTCTCTGCATTTACAGGCAGAACTATGGCCAATGCTTTAGAATCTGGAACAGTATCATCAGCTGATTGATCAATCGGATTCGTAAGAGGTGAAATCTCCAGTTTATGGTTATTCTCATCATGCTTGTCCCACTTAGTCGCTGGAGGATCTGACAAAGCATTGGGAGGCCCCAATTCTAAGATAGGACTAGGTGGATGCCTGAATATAAAAATGACTAATTAGACACCATCAGCTACCCATATAGTAGCCAAAACCTATTGTTGTAACATTTCTTCCTCTATTCTTTTTGATAACTATGCAAAGCATCACTATTCAAAAGCATACAAGTACTCATCTTCCCAACAACAACAGCAACAATAACAACAACAACAACGTACGCAGTATATTCCCACATGTGGCTCATCTTCCCAACAATACCTAGATAATTCTTGATCTGTAATGTATGATGCTTAAGCAGGAGTATCATCTTTAGGGACTGATGGAGGACCTTTGGTGAAAACAAGGCTACAAAGTGAAGATTGCCATTCTGGGAAATACCGGCCTGCTGTAGAGTTCTATTGTCATCTCTGACCTTTCCCTGGTCAACCGTAATCCACTTCCCGTGATAGTTGTTTAATTTTGATAAGGGTGGTATCCAAGCCAGCTTGCGCGCACCTCGACTAATTCAATAGGAGATCTGCGCCTCCCACCAACACAAGTATAAGGTAACTCTGTCCACCAAAGCTTAGACAAATGGGAAGCAACCTAGTGTATTTGTCTTTATTATGATTTGAACCTGAGATCTCATGGTTATCCACTTCATTGACCACTAGGGTACACCCTTGTATGCCACTTCCAAGGATAGCTGTAACAGCTTTATTTACTGTTCTCTGCATGAGAAATAAAAAAAACTGTTTATTTGAAATTCCTATAGTCAAACAAACAGGCACAGAAAAAGTTGTTCTCGGCATAAAAGATAAAGAACTGTTTATTTGAATTCCACTTGTAAAAAATGTTTATTTGAATTTAACGAGAAAATTTGGTTTCTAGACTGCCTCATAAGAAAACATTTAGAAGAGCTATCAAGTGACTCCTCGAAGGTAATATGAAGCTTTCCACACATAAAAAATGCCTAATAAGCATGCAAAATCAAAGAAGCTTAAATGAAAATAGGAGTAGTTGTTAATACCAAGGGCATAATGCAGCACCCATTGAAACCTGAGTGAACCTCTCAAAAACATATCTAGTTGCTCCTTAACAAAAAGAAAAAGAACATACCTACTTGCTCTTAACATTTGCACATACGATCATCTTTTTAGTTGGTCCAATGTCAACATAAACAGTGTATACATCGAATCCCTACAGCAAATACTAGAATCCTGGATGCATAAAGTCCAGCAATCTTGATTAAAGATTGAAGATTTTCTAGATTTCACAATGCATCTGTGATTGACGGGAACAAAAAATAGAGTGTCTGAAATACCTTCAGCGAACCAATTGCTTCCATTTCAGGAACCTTAATACAAAGCTGTGGCACCTTGAAAGACTTAATGCTAAATTCTACTGGAAAGGAAAAGTTGACTCCGGTCAAAAGCTTTTTCGAGAAAAAAGTGTATCTAATCCAGATAGGAAGAAAACTATACAAAAGTGGCGAAATGCAGCCCAAACTCAAATCTGAAGTCTCTTACCATTAAGATACTTCTGATGATTTCTAACTGATTCTGAAACCCAACTCCTGTAGAGAAAGACAGCATACTGCTCAGTAAGACAGCATAAACCACGGACCTTTAACAGTAAGGACGCTAATAAGGTATTGAACTTCACCTGAGATTGTGGGAGAGGTAATAATATCTCTCTTGATTCCCTTTTCAGGCGATTTTGAAATGCTTTCACTACTAGGCTCCTTGTCATATGCCACAGCAAAGCTATAGTCATCACACAGTTTCCTTCTCTTGGAAGATTTTTCAAGTCAACGTCTTTCATTTGCACGCATGCTTTTCCTATTGCGATAAAAGGGCTTCATATGGTTATTCAGTATTATTTATAAACCAAGAAGTTACTATAGCATCAGACATTTAAAGTACCCACAGACAAACACACACACATCAATAAAATCAAAACTGAGCAAAAAAATAATACGTGCATCACGTATATGGGGAACTCGTTACATATTCATTAAAGCTGTGTCTTACAGAAACAAGTAGCTCGGGTAGTCAAAAAGATAACAAGATACATTATATACCACCTATCCTGCCCTTAGGTTGTTTGGATCAACAGAGGACATGAAACCAATAATGCTAACATTAAAAGTTATCACTTAAGCTCATTAGAACTGTTCCTACATCCCGATAACAACGAATTGACTTACATAAACATAATCATTAGCTAAATTTTCTAGTAGCAGATTTTCTACCAAGAAGCTTGCTTTGCACTCAAAGACTACTATAAGATTACATCCGTCTTCGCACACGCCTAGCATTTGGATTAACAGATTCTGCTGCAGCACCATCTGCTGCCACATCCAACCCAAAGATGCTGCTGCTAGTCCTTTTCTTGCTAGACATCACAGGCGCCTTCTCATCAACTGATGCAACTGTTTCCAGTAGTTCTGACAACAGTGACGGGCAGCTCTCTTCTAAGTGCTTAAATCCTTCTGACTGCATGACAACTGTTTAACAACAATCAGTATTTTAGCAACTTACTGAAATAATGGAGGAAACGCATCTTATACAGGCTACACATACATTAAGAACTTGAGGCTGTCAAACAAAATTAAGCAAGAACCTGTATGGCACGGATTATAGTTCCAGCAGAGGAAAACAATATTATTGTCACATGTTGAGGCTTCCAGTACTCGTAACACATTGCCCAAACCAGATTATAGGCATAACGTTAGCTAAAAACTAGCAGGCGCGAGATAATCAATTAATTCAACTTTATTATTCAAATTTCAACTTGCACAATCAGCATCAAAAGCTATATGGTCATAAATATAAGGTTAGCTAAAAACCAACAGCCATGAGACACAATCAAGTAATTCAACTTTATTATACAAAATTTAAAACGGGCAGATGGGAAGAAATCGCCAAGGAATTTGTCTCTGTTGGGATTTGTACTCTATTCTCTCATGGTATTCGTCCCACTATAATGAGCGTTAAGCCACACCTTTGGATGTCTTCCCACTCTTAAATCTCTCATTCCATCATTCAAACTTCAAGTATCGATCCAAACATTCTCTTTTATGGTGTCGATTGGAGAAGTGTAGCAGGAATATATCTACTCTGCAAAAATTTCTGGGAACTTTACCTCAGAACTTAACTTTTTAATAATACAAAATATTTTCTCTAAAAATAGTACTACACACAATATCAAACTATCATTTTCCATGATTCCTGTGTCACCTATATCAGGAATCTTCATCTTTAAGAAAATGAAGCCAGACACTCAATATTGTACACGGAAAAAAAGTTACGTGCATCTACAAGGTCAGACAAAATTTTCGGCTTTTTTCCCTACTAGGAGTTATTAAAAGAAGAATAAGCATATGTTGGCTAGACAAGCAAAGGAGAAACACTCACCCTTAGTTTTAAAACAAGTGTGCCCCCATGCTAAAGAAGATTGATGCAAAGGTTAGATCTCATCATCTATCTATCCGCAACTAGTACCATTGGGTCTAGAAAACCCAATCTAGGTTAGATTTGGTAGAGGTGAATTGTGGACGTCCACCCCCTGAAGCACCTGCAAACATGCATCTCTGACGAGCTAGCTTCTCGCACGTACAGGACCCGACCACATTAACTAACGACAAACTTAGATAACGAGCTAAACAAGGCCAGCAGATTGATAAAATTCAATGTAACTTGTTGGCTATCAGAATTTGGGGGTTCCTTTAGAAAATGCAACTGCAAATCTTAAAGATACATCCTTTTCAAAGATACTAACTCCAATAGCCAAAACCACTAACATATTCTTTCAAGAATTTAAGCAATTCCGCCAAAGCCTAGGAGCCTAACCAACTGGCAGTACTGACATTCAACAATCCTCCACCAAGAGCTCCAAAACATTTTAAAGAAGTTCTAAAGGAAATCTTGTTATTATATTTCCATGGATACCCATTTTGCTAGATGCCTCACAACCGATTCCTGAACTTAACACCACAAATAATCTATTGGAAGCCAAAATCACCTTTTTATACAAAAGCAAGGTCCTTCAGCAAGATTTCAACAGAGATTTTTTCTGAAAATGATGTTCAACAGAGAATTTTCAGAACCTAAGCATATCCATACGTCATTTAGCAAAAGGAGTTCAAGGGACTATTGCTCTGGTCTATGGATACCAACTCTTATCTTGGCTTATCATTTGAACTGGACTACAATGAAATATGGCACAAATGCACTGGAAATGAATAACCAGAGACAAAAACATGTCTGCAGATCAACAGACATTGAAAAACTAGAAATGACATAACCTGAAACACTGCACTGCTCACATCTACGGACTACACGCACCTCCCAAGTTTGTTGCAGCAAATTTCAAACATATGGCTTTAAGCTGTAGGCATTGATGCTGCTCCGAAAGGGAAAGAGTTGTAGCCACTGTCTCCACATTAACTTCTTCACATAATTTAGCCTCGCATAACTGTTTCAACCTATCTAAACCAAAGCGGTCCGCTGCAGCCAATATATGCTGCATCATTATTGTAGATGTACATGTTGAAGTAGAGCCAGCAATCTCAAGCAAATCCGGAAGCTCATCAGAGTAAATGAAATGGAGCATAGCCTACAAAACAAACAGATGTACACAATCATTCCAGCTATTAGAAAAAGCCCTAAGGTTGGCACAAGATACGCATGTGCATTACATAATGGTAATGAACAGCTTTTATGGAAAGAAACTCGATTTGGGAAAATTGTGGTGGAAACACCATGACTATAAGGATGGAATTGCTTAGCTAACTGCTAACTTCTTTCAATATATCCTCTTAGTGATAGAATAATGGAGGACATCATTCTGTCAGCTTAGTTAGTTCTTAGATATAAATTCCAGAAAACCATCTAAACTTAGTATTATCATGAGGTTCCAATTTATATAAGAAAATTGGCTATCCTTCTGAAAAATCACATTCTGTAAACTCTCTACTTTTTGGTATAGCTCTTGTATGTAGGATTGTTTTTTCCATCACCAAAAAAATTATTCTGCTTGTAGAAAAAATTTATTTACTTTTACCAAATACTGTAATGTTCAAAGATGTTTAATGTACAGAACATTAGCCATAAGATTCATTTAAGCCTAAGTATAACAATGCTAACTAAAAAAGGAAGTCTAATAAAGAGCAGTGAAATATAATCCATTTACACCTTTAACATACAAAATGAATCTGGAATGTCCATGGGAGGTCTGATATCCCCTCAATTATCTATTTTCACCCTAGCTTTCTTTTTTATTTCCTTTTAATAGCAGAAATCATTATATCAATGCAAGAACCTATTTTGAACAAAAAAAGCAAGAACTTATTACCTTGAAAATTGAGGGCTCAATATCCTCAAGTTCTACTTTGTCAGAATTAGGATTCCCCACAAGCCCAAAGAATTGGGATCTAAACACTNAACACAGGAGAACGAGCAGCTAGTATCAACTTATGAGCCTTAAAAGTCTCTTCGCCAACACGGAAATCAATATCACAACCAAGTTCAGCATCCAGCACATATTTGAGACTTTGGCCCATGTCTGATGGAGGAACAGAAACACTATAATCTTTGGGTCCTTCAACACGAGTTCTCACAACTCCAACAGTACAGTGCATAGACAGGCAATCATCCTTCAGGTAGTCAGAAGTTTCCAAAACTGATCTTCTGAAAAATCGTTTGTAACCCCTGTACGTACAGGCAAGAAATTCCATTAGTTTGAGCAAGAGAGAAAGTTATCAATGTGCTTAAATACCATGGAATCAAAAAGGTAGTGTAGTGACCCAACTAAACAATTGGTGAATTATCTTGAGCTTTAACAAGGATACTCTTGTTATGAAGGGCAATCATAATATATCAAATCTGTTACATTTTTCACTAAAAAAATTATTTTATTCCATTAATACAAGATTTACAAAATAGTAACTAAATGAACTGTGGTTTAATCAACTGATCATTAATATGGAAATTTCACGAGAGAACTGAAAATGGAACATACAAACACCATTCAAAGTGGTAAAAAGAAAAAGTTGAGGCCTCAAATGGTTTAGCCAGGGGTCAAATCATGAGGCTGACCCAGATTTCAGTAAGTCAATTCTCTAAAAAACTAAGCAATCATTTAGCGTTTCCCGGAGACAAAGTTAGACATACCCCTGCAACCAAGGATTGGTTCTTTTCTACCTTTCTTTTTCTTAAATCTTATAAATACCAGTGGCGTCAGAATCAACTTGTGGACAGCTTGACTATTCCACCATATACTTATTGCAAATAGGAAGATTTCAGTATTCTGAATTACTCTAACTCTTCCAGCTCAACAACCAAGATCAAAGGCTTGTGCACTAGGATCCCGCTATGCGCGAGGTCGGGGGAAGGGCCGGAGCAGATTGGGTCTTATATATACAGCCTCAAAGGCTGTTTTGGCAGCTTGAACCTGTGACCTCATGGTCACAACAATGAGAGAAATAAGAAAAATGCAACAAGGGTAGGCAAAAGCACTCCTATTTCCAGTATATCGACAAACTTCTAATATGCAAACCCCAAGTACACGCAACATAAACCCTAAGAAACATAAAAACATAAACCATTTGGCCACGAGTCTTGCTAATTTAATAGTGCCATTACACAAGCTAGCAGATGAATAAATTTGCAGACATACCACATGCTTCCTCTATATTTCAAAGAATACGGGCCACTCTCGAGCGCCCGATCAAAATGGCTATGAACTTTGTGCTTCCCTTTACCGCTCTGATCCAATAGAGTCAGCTCGAACAGTGCCCTGACATCAGTGCCCTCACTAGCAAGGGCGATGAAAACAGAGACATACGTGGAAGAATCCTCAATATTCTTACCATCAGGGTAGAAATAAACGGCCCAATCATAACCGCCCACTGTGAATGTATCGCTAGTTATGTACTTTCCGGGACCCATTCCTTTAGCCAGGGAGTAACCCCTGATGGTGAAATGGTGGGACCCATTCACCGTCTCGTTTATCGACTTGGAACAGGAATCAGAATCATCCCCCCCACCGCGGTCCTCGTAATCAACGATCATTTCATGGGAATGAATGAAGGTGAAAAAAGAGAATACAAACAGAAACCCTAGATATGGGGAATCGAATTTCCCAGGGATCAAAGTTGAGGTGCGAAAGAGAATGGGAAATTGATACTTGAGAAGCAAAATTGGAAGGAAACTACAGTTTAAGCAGGTGTTTGGCTAGCTGGGGAAACTGCAGAAAGCTGAGGAGCGAACGGCAGGAAAACGAAGCGGTGAAGAAATTGTGGTAGTTGGGGAGGAGGGGAGGGGGGGTAAAGGAGGTGGATGTGGTCAGTGGATGATTTGATCTGATGGATTTATGGCTTTTTGGTAGGCTTTGGAATTGGGATTTTACGATGTTAAGAAAACGTTGTTTCATTGGCGGCGACTTGTCAAAATCTGGTGGATCTCTTTTCTTTCTTTTCCTTACTTTTTCTTTTTCTTTTGCTTTTTCTTTTTCTTTCTCTTCCCTTTTTCTTTCTCACTCCGTTCTTATTTGTCTTGGTGATGCATGCCTTAACACACCACATTCAAGGGAATATGTCATGGTGCATGTTATTCGTCGATGACATAGTTCTGATTGATGAGTCGTGAGTCGGTGTTAACACGAGGCTGGAGGTTTGAAGACAGGCTCTTGAATTAAGGGTTTCAAGCTAGCAGGACGAAGACGGAATACCTGGAGTGTAAGTTCAGCACTGAGCAGGGAGAAGTGGGCGTGGATGTGAGGCTTGAATCACAGGTCATCCCGAGTAGAGGCAGCTTCAAGTACCTTGGGTCGGTTATCCGGGGTAGGGGAGATCGACGAGGATGTCGCACACCGTATTGGGGGTAGGATGGATGAAGTGGAGGTTAGCATCTCGAGTATTATATGACAAGAGAATGCCACTGATACTCAAAGGTAAGTTCTACAAAGCGGTGGTTAGACCGGCCATAATGTATGGGGCTAAGTGTTGGCCGGTTAAGAAATCACATATCTAGAGCAGAAATGAGGATGTTGAGGTGGATGTGCGGGCATACTATGATGGATAAGATTAGGAATGATGATATTCGGGAAAAGGTGTGTGTGGCTCCCATTGATGACAAAATGCGGGAAGCGAGGCTCAAATGGTTCGGGCATGTTCAGAGGAGAAGCCCAGATACTCTGGTAAGGAGGTGCGAACGGTTGGTTATGGAGGGCACGAGAAGAGGTAGAGGGCGGCCTAAGAAGTATTAGGTGATTAGGCAGGATATGGTGAGGCTCCAGATTTCTGAGGATATGGCACTTGATAGGAACACGTGGAGGTCGAGTATTAGGGTTGTAGGGTAGGAGGTAGTTGAGTCTTGGCTTATGTCATGAGTTTGTGAGTCTAGTCTGGTAGGTATACTATTTCGCTTTTGCTTTGTATCTTTCTTCTTGATTGCATGTTGTTCCTATTTTTCATATTATTTCTGCGTTGTTACTGATATTGTCCCCTTTTGTCTTTTTATCTTCTTGAGCCGAGGGTCTTTCGAAAACAGTCTCTCTACTCCTTCGGGATAGGAGTAAGGTCTGCGTACATACTACCCTCCCCAGACCCCACTAGTGGAATTTCACTAGGTTGTTGTTGTTGTTGTTCCCTTTTTCTTTTGCGCGGGGTAGTTACTCCCTTCGTGCGTAGTTTTTTTTAACCATAACTTTTTTATATTGTAATGTAAAATATTTTTTACATAATTTTTAAATATATAAATTTTATTTCAAAAAAATTAAAAATTTTGTATCTGAATTTACGATCAAAATTAAGAAATTTGACTCTTAAAATTCGAGTTTTGCCACTTAACTTAATACAGTATCTTTTAATGTATACTGCTCCAGAAGTAAATTACAAAGTCAGTTTTTCCTTTTTCTATCTTTACAATATAACAAAAGAACAAGAACAAGGAGAGGCATTTGTGTTTTAAGAAGAAAAAACTCACCCAAAATGTCATTGAGACAAAAAATTAATGTCACATATGTCCCAAATAGGGGCATTATGGTAACTCACACGTATTTTGAGGGCATAATGGATAATTAATCATATATTTTTTTCCATTCCTACCTTTCGGTCGATTGTCCTTTTAATTTTAATTTTTTGGTCCAACTCTCTCATTATTTTAATTGTATTTACCTTACCCAAGACACATATCACAAATACATTGTTTACTCGTAAACGGTACAGTTGAATTTATAGCGTGGTTTATAGAAAAGCGAATCGATTTGATCCCGAAATAATAAATAAATTAAATAAAATTCAAGACTTAGTTGAAATCGAGATTGAATAGCAGATAGTTTAGTTTCGGGAGCAAGCTTCCGAAGACAACAATAGGAATAATGTTAAATAGAAAATAAAGTATTATTTAGCTTTAAATAATATGTAGCATAAGTTTGTCAAATTTTTTGTATCCTACGATGGTTGTTGAAGCCACAATTTATAGCTATACCTAGGAAACAAGGTCCTAGGATCAAGCCCTTTTGAAATGACAATAATGAGGGTCATTGATGAATATGTAACGGCAGGTTATGAATGCCAAAATTCTCTATAACGAATGTGTATTTAATACTGAGGAATATTTTTCATTGAATGTCATCTGGTGGAAAATATTTGTTTGCCCTTGTTGACAATGTTCCCCTCGGGGTCTACCTGATGCTAACTAAAGTTGTTGCCCTCGGTCTTGGTTTCCACACGTTTCGTCTTATGTCTGTCTCCGGTTCCACGTGTCACTCTATCATTCGAGTATTTAATGTGAATTAATTTTACCCTATACAGATAGCCCCCCTGCTATCCGGTGGCACATCATTGTGTCATCGGGAAGTTGGTGAAGATTCCTTTCTTGGCGGAAATTTTTTCGAACCCTTCTTAAAAATTTCTTATGCTTGATAAGATGCATGCATGTTTCGTATTTAATACCCCAAACACATGTTACTCAATGATTTAACAATATTTTTGCTGGTTCTCGAGGTAATCATGGCCACGATTTTAGCCCTCTATTCCTTTACATATACGCCTCATTCTTCTTCTTTTACACTCAACAGTTTTACAAACTCTCTCACCTTTTTTGCATTCAACTCTTTTCTGCATTCATCCTTCTTTAATCTTCTTCAAAGAAATCTTATCACCTTCTGTTGATTATGGCTTCTTTCACTAACTCTTCAAAGATCTCGAGTCTTCTCTTCACTAGGTGTCCGAAGGAGAGCATAGACAAAGAAATCAACGTTGATGCTGACCCCCCTACGGTGAGCACCATTATCCCTAACACAACCAAGGACTTTGAAGAGAAGTTCCCTTCTTCAAGCTATTGTACTTGGGTTGTTGCCAAATACCCCTTTTCTATTTGCCATTCCAACATTCCTGTTGTGAGGAGGATTATGATTGTCATGACCTAAACATTATTGCTCCCGATATGGTGAAGCAAGTAACCTTCACTAAGAAGGGCTTTACGTACGTTTATATGTACCCATTCACTTTGGGTTCGTTTTCTTTGAGCGGGGGCCTTGACCCCGTGATTATGGAGTTGTGCCATCGGTACCAAGTTTTTTTGGCATAGTTGGACCCTTCGGTGTGGCAAACAGTGGCCTGTCTGCAGCGGTTGCGCTAGGAAACGAAGGAGGACCTCACTTTGGCTCGTGTGATGGATCTTTACTCCCCCAAGATTTTTGTGGGGTAGTAATAAATTTCAGCAAACATGGCCACCATACTTTAATCACTATCATGGATAACAAAAACGACCATAGGTGGATGGAGACGCTTGTCGTTGTTACCATCAGGGATATCATCCCGGCCACAACTTCATCCTTTCCTGACTCATAGACTCGTACACGTAAGTTCAAAGTCTATCTCTTTTTTTTTGAAAAAAATAGTTGTTTCATGTCGTTGTTGATCCGTCTTTTTTCATTATTTCAGCAACTCGATGGACACCACCAAGAATTGAAGGCTTGGACCGGTGGGGTCAGAAGATCCTGGACATCACCACACCTGAGACCCGCAGGTGGAAAGAGTTAACCCCCAAATATGGATGGAGGGCCAAAAATCATGGTATGTTGACTCGTAAAACCAATTCTGCTTTTGTTTTATCTTTATACATAAGAAAACAGGTTAACCTCACCTTTTTGTTAGATTCGGGTCTCCCGTAGGGCTCTACGACCATCCCTAAGAGCACATTTTGGTTGATTCCGTAGAGGCTGTGAGGTTGTTGTAGGAGGCTTTCACCCGAACAGACACCATCGGATCTGCTTTTGGTGCAAGCGCTTCCTCTCTGAAGCGCTCGGAGAGGAAGCGCTTTCTCCGACCAGAGAATAAGCAACCAAAAAGGCAGCATTCGGTCGAGGGCAAGAATAAAAAGGTGAAGAAAGCTGCAACCAAGCCAACCATAGCCACTGTGGTTATTGAAAATGATGGGGAAGCCAGTGATGAAGGGGCTTGCCTACAAAGGAGACAACGTCCTTCATAAGCTCAACAGAATGCTCAATCTGAAGAGCTTATAATCCCAATCGAGGATGATGCCCAAGTGCTCTTGGAAGAGTTTGACTTGGTGGAGAATGCCAATTCTCCCTTTTCGGTCCCAATTGGTTCTCCCGATACTGTGAGGCCGAGTACCGGGCTTCTTCCGCCTTTGATTGATGAGCAACCAACAAACAACATTGCCTCCATCGAAGTTGCTTCTCAACCCACAACACCATCAGCTTCATCTCCTTCCATGCCGGATGTACCTTCATTACCAGCAACTACTACATTATCCCCATCGGCCACAAATGCCCGAAAGGAGGATGTCCCTCCTCCCCAGTCCCCAGACCATGGGAATTTGGGGCACAACTACTCACCCCCTTCTGAAGATCCCTGGAGGATGAGTATTGTCTTGCTCTTGATATCTACTGAGTGGCATCTGCTATCCCGACCGATGGAATTCGCCAATTATCTAAAGTCGTTGGCTTCAGAAAAAGATAAAAATAAAATACACTCTCTTTGGGGAGAGTGTTTTTTAAATAATGCAATGCACAATGCGGCGGCGTTAACGTACTTGTTCTGTTTACTGCTTGTTTTTTCTTGACTTGCTATGACAAGGTTTCTAAATTAGGTTTTTACTTTGCATCCCAACTTCCTTACTTCTGAGGGCCTTAAAAAATTGATCCTCGATGAAGAAAGACTCCACTTCTAGTGGGACTAATTATTAGACGAGATAGACCAAATTGCTACTTGCCTACTAATGCCGGAAGCAAAAGCTGCTGAGGCGGGTGAGTTAGAGGCTCGGTTGCAACAGAGTGAGAAGGAAGTGATGGCCCTTAGACAAGAAGCCTCACAGCTAAATGTACAATTTCAAGAAGCTAATGCTAAATTGTCTAAGGTACAAAATGGTGTGCTCGCTGTAGCCGAGCGCGAATCTGCCTCCATTGAG